AAAAAGAGATACTAATAAAGTGGAAACCTTTGAAGATATCAAGTTAAAGAGCATAGAAAAAATATTAAACAAGACAATAATTCCAAAATGTCAAGAAAAATGGGAAAATATTTACCAAAATAACATACAGTGGAACTTAGTTTGGGACAGTATTTCAAAAATGAAAGTTAAAAATAAAATTCAAGAATTCCAATGGAAATGCGTGCATAATATATTGTATACTGAAGATAAATTATGTAAAATCGGACTATCCAATGGTTTATGCAACCTATGTAAAAATCATAAAGAAAATCAACAACACCTCTTTTTCCATTGCACAAAAGTTAAAACAACACTTAAATTACTAGAAGATATAATTGAAAATGTGCTGCAACTAAATGGAACTTTACAAATTAACCAACAAACAATAACATTGGGCTACTTGAAGGGACCACAAACCCAAAGAAACGTTGTTAACATTTTAATATGTATTTATAAATGGGTCATATGGAAAACAAGAAATAAAATTAAATATGAGAATTTAAAAATAACTGACTTCAGCATTAAAAACGCTTTCAAAAATGAAATGAAATCGAATTTTTCACTTTTACAATCACATGATTTGACAAATTTCAAAGAGAAAATTAATCATGTATTTCAAAATTCCTTGTGATTCTAATACTAGTATATGCTCCCGTGATAAACCATATATACATTACATGTATTCAAATTTTAAATCCACTATAAGACACAATTTGTTTTTTGCTATGTTATTTTTCATGGTTCTGGAAACATTATGTTTAAAATATGATTAAAATTATGTATGTGAGGAAAAAATTTTCATGTCTTTGTAAAATTCATTCATTCTGATGTGTTTTTATAATCTAATTTTATTATCACAAAACTCTGCATATTGATCCTGTTTTTAAGATGTAAAACATAAAAAAGACCAGTATTTTAGGGTGACCTGGCCCTAAATACTAGTTACAGTGAGATTGATATAGACTTTCTTCTTCTTTATTTTATTTTTTTTTACACACTCCACTGCAACAAGGGTCATGCTTCTATTGATGCTAAAGGAATACTTTGTTTTTATATATATAAATGGTAAAAATTTTCTTTGAGATACTTATGTATATGTATGAAAATGTAGTCAATAATTATATATTAACATAATGTGAAAAATTCTGTGTTCAAATATATTGGAAATATATTAAATAATATTATATTGATCCAGGGAGCTCCTGGCACCCCTGGTGAAGTATTACCAGAGGGCTTCTGCGGAAGTTTTACCTCACTGTTATGTTGTACATTATTGAATAAATGATTGAAAAAAAAAAAAAAAAAAAAAAAAAAGGCTCAAAGTAAATTTTCAACAACAAAAAAATCGTACAAAAAATATAATGCAAAGAAAGCAAAAAAAAAAAAAAAAAAAAAACTTAAACTCGAAAATCCTATTTCGGGGGGAGGGGGGGGGGGGGGGTTTGTGGCCAACTTTTTCAAAGGCAAGTTACTTTCAAATCCAATTTATTTCCACAATTCTTCCATATAACTATAACTATACAAGTGTCAAAAAGTGAGGGGGGGGGGGGGATCCACTCAATGAATATTTCCTATAGTAAAGGTAATGTTGGGGAAAAATAGCTGTTCTTCATTAAAAAGTGGGGGGGCACAGACATACTCTTGCCCCCCCAGATCTGAAAGTGGGGGGGCTAGTGCCCCCGCTGCCCCCCTGTGACTACGCCTATGCTTAGGGAGGTTCATCAAATTGACTTGTTCATAACATATCATGGGGAGGTTCATCAAATTGACTTGTTCATAACATGTCATGGGGAGGTTCATCAAATTGACTTGTTCATAACATATCTTGGGGAGGTTCATCAAATTGACTTGTTCATAACATATCTTGGGGAGGTTCATCAAATTGACTTGTTCATAACATATCACGGGAAGGTTCATCAAATTGACTTGTTCATAACATATCTTGGGGAGGTTCATCAAATTGACCTGTTCATAATATCATGGGGAGGTTCATCAAATTGACTTGTTCATAACATATCATGGGGAGGTTCATCAAATTGACTTGTTCATAACATATCATGGAGAGGTTCATCAAATTGAGTTGTTCATAACATATCATGGGGAGGTTCATCAAATTGACTTGTTCATAACATATCATGGGGAGGTTCATCAAATTGACTTGTTCATAACATATCATGGAGAGGTTCATCAAATTGACTTGTTCATAACATATCATGGGGAGGTTCATCAAATTGACCTGTTCATAACATATCATGGGGAGGTTCATCAAATTGACTTGTTCATAACATATCATGGAGAGGTTCATCAAATTGACTTGTTCATAACATATCATGGAGAGGTTCATCAAATTGACTTGTTCATAACATGTCACGGGGAGGTTCATCAAATTGACTTGTTCATAACATATCATGGGGAGGTTCATCAAATGGACTTGTTCATAACATATCATGGAGAGGTTCATCAAATTGACTTGTTCATAACATATCATGGGGAGGTTCATCAAATTGACCTGTTCATAACATATCATGGGGAGGTTCAGATGGAGAACAACCAAGAGCACCACAAAGTGGAACATCCCCTCACAAAGAGCAGATCTATAAAAGAAGACAGCATTTGACATTTCACAGATATCTGACAAATGCATAATACTGATGTGTAAAACTTTTAATTATTTATGACAACATTTTTAAAAAATTAAAATATTTATTGTTTTACATATGTAACATATATGTATATTAAAATCTTGAAATAAAAAGCAGTACATCACTGTAAATCCAATAACTCAGCAACAGCAGGTAACATAATTATGATGTTAATAATATCATATGCCAAATCATGTCTAGGAATATACTTCAGTTTGAATTTCTACTATGTTTGATATGGGAAAAGTCTGTTAGGTATTCCAGAGACAGGAAGGAGTAGACAACCGTATTAGTGAGGCTTGGAATCACGTCAATTACAGCCTCATTGTGAATAAATCCGTACATCAGCTGTACAGGACGCGCCACCAGGATCCCAACACCCATGTAAAACAGAACTATCTGTACAGCGTAATTCATTTTATGGCAGCGATTGCAGAATGAGTTGGAATTAGCACAGGATTTTAGAATGTTTATGTTCCAAAATGAGATTCCTGAAAAAGAAAACAAATTCTTTTCAATACATACATGTATAAAATACTTGTTTTTGAAGGTTGTATTGTAAGGGAAACAATCCCTATGCATTCCATATGGATGTTTTTGACCCATATTGGAGAAAATGAAATTTAAGCATAAATCAAGTTTACTGCTGAGCAAAGCTTGAAATAAATCATAGCTGAAGATGATTTAATTTTTTTATGGCAATTTTATCAACTTAAACTCAGTGCAAGGTCCATAGACCTCTGGCAAGAACGATGACTTTACAACAAAACACCTATACATGTACATGTATTATTTCTTTACAGAACTTTCAACTTAATTAAATTAACCAAAAATTATAACTCTTTTGGAAAATCATTAGCATTAAAGTATGTACTGATGAACCTAAAAACTTTGTTTAAAAGTAATATCTCTCATTGCTCGTCCATTCCATCTTACCTGTGTCATTGGTAGCATTTATTGCAGCAATCCATAAATACAACAATGCAATTGGAAGATAAAACACAGCATATTCCATCAGCGTGTATAAACAATTTCTAACTACGTCATTCCTACATACAGTAAAATAAACTTGTACATCAGTTGTCAAGTTCATAGATGCCGTCTGTTGCAGAGATTTTTCAGGATTTTGCCATATAAGAAGAGAAACAGATAACAGGGAATGTAAAATCACAGCCCTTTTGATGAGCTTTTTATAAGGTATTAAGGTTCCAGTGGAGATGACATATTTTGTAATGATGGTAAAAAATATAGCGTTGGCAATTAACGTTGGAACATAAAAGTCACGGCATCCATCATCCTTGGGTCGAAGACTCTCGATCTGCATCAAACGCTTGAAGTACCCTAACACAGAGGCGCAGTACAGTTCGTGTACAAGACCAGTTGTGACAATGACTACAGTTACCACGGTGTGTTTACAGTCATCCAGCATTAGGAATAATAACACCAGGAAACCCGCCGAGAGTGTCCCAAACAGTACCAGGGACTGCAGAATCTCCACCACAAAGAACGTCAACTCCATGTCTGATGTTTACTCTTCCTCCTCATACCATTTGGGTTTTTTTTTTCAGAGGTTGCCTGATCTTCTGCTAAAATTAGAAATACGGGAAAGCATAAAAAACATAAAGTGACTCAAGTTATATGTACCTTTTCTGTCTTTTATCATGATCTATTGACTTTTGTGATGATTAAAAAACAAGATTCCTTGACTCAAGGCTTGAGAACTTTAAGTTCATTAAAATTCAAAATGCAATGATATCAACAAGATCAACGTTTGTAAAATAAAAAAAATTCCAGTTAACTTATTCAAATGTTTTAGCTAACAGCTGCTAACAACTAAACCATGTTTATTCATGGTGCCAAATGTAAAGCACAGCTGAAGTGAAGCATGCATTTCTAGCGACAGCTCGGTCAATGTCATTATAAATTTTCGCCTCCCACTGATTGTCCATAAAACAATGATATTGTACAATATGCAACGATGCCAAAAAGGTTTATAAAAATACAGAAAAACTTCATTACAAAACATAAAGCAAAAAAATACCTGTGAGTACACGATTCTACTTTCATTTTTATGGATCGGTTGTCGGGTAACTTTTACATCCATGTATTTCGGTCCGCCCTTTTCCCCAGTTGTCATGATTGTCAATTTTGTTTTATGCTGTCAAACATGCTCAATTGGTGGTAGGTAAAAAATATAGAGGGATATCTAATATCAATAATTAAATTTTAGCAACAAATTACATTTAAAAATGTTATAGGGTCCGAAATAAGAGGGAGACTATACCAAAGAGAGACCCGAAAAACTGGTTCTCCAATCAAAACAGAAGAGAACCAAATTTATGTAAAATGGAGAAAAAAGAATCAAGTAAGTATTTTACGATTTTTCTAAACTTAACTCATCAGTGTCTCTCAAAAAATATTCTGTAATGAATAATGTGTGATTTAAGTTAATAACCAAGTAAAACAATGCAATAAAATTAGTATATCCTATGAAAATCAAGATTTAAAACTCAATCCCTCGAGGAAATTCGAAAGTCGTAAAAGAGAAATGCTTTTCTTGAGGTGTAAAATATTATTTTTATAGATTATGAGTTATAAAATAGTAGATGAATTTAATTTTCTTTAAGTAATTAGAATCTTGTAAAATTTGAACCTAAAAACCCACTGGCTATATTTATACCACCAGTAAAATGTCAAACAAAATATTTAATATTGAATACATATTATTAGGTCTTTCCACCTTTCTGTGGAAAGACCTATTGATATTCTTCTGTTTATTATTCTTTTTTCTTTTTTTTATTATTTTTCCGCCGCATGTTTTTGAGTTTAAAGATTTATCGAAAAGATTTATAGACCAAAAAGATGTACTTCGTAAATGATTTTCGCAGTTGACCCTGCGTATATGAACTTTGACGTCTCAAGGAGTTATGACCCCTTTCGCAATAAATGTTTGTTATCGCTACTTCTCCGAAACCATAAGACGTAGAGTCACAAAACCTTTATTAATGTCTACGACTAATTTAGTAGATGCTTCAATCTGTCTTTTCGAAAGAATTCGTAAACTCCTTTTATGAATTATTGCCCCTGAATGTTTGCGATGTTTATGAATGTCGAGATCTTTTCGTAAACCACAAGTCATAGAGACATGGGACCAACTGCAAAAGGTTCATTGACCCTTGACCTTGAAATTTAGGTCAAGGTCAAAGGTCAAGGTCATTCAAAGTATGAAAAATTAAGCTCTTTTAATAACTCTTTTGTTCTTCACCAAATTCTTAACATCTTTGCATCTTTGATATGTACTCTTAAAACCATTTTAAAGATTTCAGTCTTGTCCCCTAAGATTGAACCCCCTAAAAGTTAGTGCCTCTTTCAGTGTAAACCCTTGTTATCGCTACTCCTCCGAAACCATAAACCGTAGAGGTACGAAACCTTCAACAATGTCTGCGACTAATTTAGTACACTTTTCATTCCATAAGTGCGAAAGAATTCGTAAACCATTTTAAGCAGTTTTTGACACTGACAGTTTCTCATGTTTACGAAGAACTGAAAACTTCTTAACGACAAGTCGTAAAGACATGTGGACAATGCATGAGATCTTTCGACCTTTGACCTTGAGGATAAGGTCAAGGTCAAAGGTCAAGGTTATTGGAAAAGTATCCAGATTGCTTATGAACTTTTTTTTGGGGGGGGGGGGGGTGAAATGATCTTGACCCTTGATCTTTGATCTTGATCCTAACTCAAATTTATTTCAATTTGATTTAGATTTAATATCAATCGAATAAATCAAAAAAACAAAAAAAAAACAAAAACAACTAGGAGACTTATTGTTCACAGAACAATAAGAGGTCTTTCCACCTTCTTTGATGTTTTCAATTTTGTTTATTTGACTCCTTAATATTAAATTCCATGAATAAAAAAACCAAAACTGTCTTAACCGATAGAAAAAATTAGAATTTAAAAAAATTGAAATGACCTTGACCTTTGACCTTAAAAATTTTTCAAGGTCAAAGATCAAGGGCACAATGCAATTGACCCCATGCTTTTACCACTTATAGTTTTCAAGTTATAAGGTTTTATATTAAGTACAAAGAAGTTAAAGGGCAATAACTCACATAAGGGGTCATCAGATCCTTTTGCATTTTTACAATGTAGTTAGGCCTAAAGACCCTTAACACATTAGAGAAGGTTTGGTGTCTCTACGTTCTACGGTTTTGAAGTAGTAGCGATAACAAGGTTTTTCGCATAAGGGGCAATAACTTTCAATAGGGTCAATCTTCAGGGACAAGAATGAAATCTTTGAAATAGATTTAAGAGAACATATTAAAAATGCAAAGACTGATTGCATATGTTAAAAGACAAAAGAGATATAAAAAGAGCTTGATTTCTCAATTTTTGAATGACCTTGACCTTTGATCTTTGCATAAATTTGAAGGTCAAAGGTCACTGAATCTAATGCAGTTGGTCCCATGTCTCTATGACTTGTCGTTTTGAAAATTTTTGATTATTTGTAATATTTAAAAAGTTTCAGGGGCAATAACTCATTGAAGGGGTCACCGAATGCTTTCGCAATGAATAGATTGAAGAGTCCCCATAATTTGGCAAAGCCATTGGTGAAGGTTTCATACCTTTACGGTTTACGGTTTCAGAGGAGTAGCGATAACAAGGGTTTTTAGCACAAGGGGCAACAACTTTTCAAAGGGTCAATCTTAGGGGCCAAGATTTATATCTTCTAAAGAGTTTCAAAAGTACATATCAAAGACATAAGATAGATCGTATATGTTTAAGGACATAAGAGCTATTAAGAGAAATTTATTTCTCAGATTTGGAATGACCTTGACCTTTGACCTTGAAATGAATTTGAAGGCAAAATGTCATTGAATGTTATGCAGTTGGTTTCATGTCTCTACGACTTTTCGTTTAGAAAATTTTTAATTTTTTGTAAACTTTATAAACTTTCAGGGGCAGTTACTCATTGAAGGGGTCAAAGAAAACTTTCACAATGAATAGATTGAAAAGTCTCCTAAATTAGTTGAAGACAATGGTAAAGGTTTTATATCTCTACGGTTTACGGTTTCTGAGGAGTAGCGATAACAAGCTTTACGACAAAAGGGGCAATAACTGCGTAAGGGGTCAAAGTACAAATACGTTGGGTCGTTTTTCGGAATAACTTTTGATATCCAGTATCATGAAGTATAAAGTTTTTCGATAAGTCTTGTGGTTTCAAAAGTCCGGCGGAAAAAGAATAATAATAACAAACATAAGCATTTCAAGAGGTCTTTCCACAGAAAGGTGGAAAGACCTAAAAAACAAAACAAAACAAAAAAAAAAAAAATTTAAAGCGAATTTTCCTCTCCAATAAATTTCCACGCTCTCAGTGACACAGTTTTCTTCATGAAATGCATGTTTCAAGTTTAATTTATGCTGATAACTATTAATACAATCCAAATACAGATGATTATTTAATCTTACCTATGAGTTCACCATATCTGTCAAAACCAACGCGCCTATATTTTCATAAATAGTAAACACATTGCCGACACGGAAGTTCGAATGTATCATAAGCTCTGTATGATTAACTCAATCTATTCAAAGTATAAACAAACTCAAATGATTTTTTTTAATAGGAATTTGGCATTTCCATTATACACCAATCGTGTTTCTCAGAACTATTCATTATTCTTCTCTATGTTCCATCACAAACAAATAAATACACGTGTTTCTGTACTATTTTAAAACGCACGTGTGTCTATTTTTGTTTAAATCCATGTGCTTTCATTTCGCCTGTCAATCTGAAGGTCCCGAGTTCGAATCCGGCGGGAGGCACATTTTATTTGGAATTTTTTTTTTTTTTTTTTTCAACCCAAAGGACACGGGACCACTTAAAAAGATGGAAAGACCTGACGTCTCATTGTTCTCTGAACAATTAGTTTACTAGTTTGTGTTTGTATCTGTTTTTCATCAAATTTAAGCTGGATCATTGGCAATATCTCTATTTTCAACCTGACAAAGGCACATCTTTGCAGTTGAAACTAACAAGCCATAGCGTATACATTGCAAGTAAACATGACATTACTTTGCTTTTACTGTTTTAGAATGCCGGACTGCTTGCACGAGCTTTGTTAGGACATTGACTAAATAAAACTTTCAATGGGTTTATTAGGTTAATAGGTTACCTTTATAAGTTCGATGCAAGGGCCTGAAGGAGTAGCTGCAAGATGAATTTCACATTATTATTAAATTCATCCAACATATTTTGTACAACAGGTAGAATTAAGGACCTCCAACAGAAGAGAGTGCTGGATGACGCGGCCCGCAGGAGAAGACAGAGGAAAGCATTAGAGGCCCTGGAACAGGATAATTTCCAGGACGACCCTCACGCTGACCTGAAAATGAGTAAAAAGGCTCCCAAGTTTGAGGAGTCCATGGAATCACCAGGTAACCAAGCGACACCAAAAATGTCAAACCATTCATGATGAGGTCTGTAATCCACCAAGGATACTTTTGAGAAATTGATAATTTAACTCATGCAGGAAGAATCTGACATATTGTTTTAGTAAAACACCTGAGTGGAATATATACATTTTCTGTAAAAATTTTTATGAGAGAAACATGAGGAAGAGTCTCAGAGAGAGAGACAGATTGAGAGAGAGAGAGAGAGGGGAAATGTACAACATGTATGTGTTTTTCAGTAGAATAAGTATCCTATCTAGAAAAAGGATACAGTCATTTTCCTTGTTCAACATGTTTTCTACTTGTCTAAATTATTTTTTCATATCTCTAGCACCAACAGGAAAGAAAAAGCGTAAAAGTAAAGCAGACAACTTCAAATTTCGGTACAAGAAAAGTTTTGCTGCATTACTTGAAGAGGAGGTAATTTCAAAAGAGTTTACAAAATTCTCTTCAAGTTGGAATTTTTTTGCTAGGAAATTTGCTATTTCATGTATATATTGTTTTGATTAATCATTTGTTATAAATAGAAAATAATTTTAATAAAAAACACTTCAGTCCAAATTTTGAGAGAATAAAATACTATGGAATTATCATTACTCATGAGGGATCAATGTTTGTGGATTTCATTGGTTCATGTCCAAGTATGTTTATTAATATGTTTTTTTTGTAAACCTGTTGATTCATTAAATGTATAAAGGCGTTATGCACAACATAACTTCCCCACTAACAAGTAAAATTTTGCTTGCCCATAAACATTGACCCCCACAAATTAAAATTATTTCACGATATTTTAATTCATTTTATATTTCTTGTAGAACTGATATTTTTAAGCAATGTCTGATATTTAATTTTGTTATCTTTATGATTTTATCATTTCAGCACATGTTGAACAAAGATTCCCCTAATTACAACACGGCAGGAGTTCCCCCCTCGCGATTCCCCGACAGAAAGTTCTGTGCCGTTTGTGGATATCCTTTCATATTCATCTGTCTTATGTATTAGGGTTAAAAATTCATAAACCCTCTGCTGACTTGTATCAAAAGTTGATTGAACCTTAATGATTTTCCATAAGAAATGTGTATTATAAGTAAAATACAATCAATTATAGCATAGCTTGTGGGGTAAAATTGGACCAAAAAAACTTGAACTTGGCAAATCTGTAAAGGAATAATAAACATTTATGTCATAAATTAAGAGTTATTTCTCTTATCCGAGTATCAATGAACCTTAAATACTTAAAGCTTCAGAATCAGTACCAAATTAAAACAATAAGGTACTGTAAATAACTTTTTATTCGCGAGAACTTTATTTTCGCGTAATTACACAAGACGGTATACTCACGAAAATTTCCTTCTCGCATATAATAGAATCCCTTAAGATTATATAGAGCAATGACCACAATTCGTGAAAATTTTGTCTCGCTAATAAAGAGTCAATGACTATCTCGCGAAATAAGGTGTAGCAAAAATTAAGTGATCTACAGTATTTTACGAGAATGTATACATTTCATTCACATGAATTTCACATTAAAAAGGGACATGAAATTCATGTGAATTTTTTTTTTTTACATGGAGTTCTCTTTTAATTAAGTTTAGGCATGTTTGATGCTTGATATTATGACAAATATTCAATGAAAAATAATGCATCTAAGTCAGTTTTGAAAGATAGAAATTTAGTGAATGACATAGTTAATTTTGAATTAAATTACAGTGAATATTTTTACAGTTTTTACTTGTCCAGACATATTGTTAACAATATGAAGGATATTTTGTTTGAATTTTTCTTTGAAAAAAATCAAGAAGCTTTTCTAATGTTGTATGGTAACTTTTATTTTAAGTCTTAAATCAATTTTTTTCTTTTTCATAGAAAACAAGTAAATATATATATTGGAATTGGGTACTGTACTAAGTATTTTCAGTTGCAAATACCGGTAGTGTAGAGATTTACAATATACAGTTTGTATTTACCTTAATAGTCTAACTTTTCCCTCTAATTACACGTGTGTACAGTGTGGAGCCAGGTACTGCTGCGTGAGGTGTCTAGGTACACATCAGGATACGAGGTAGGAAGCTACACTGTAGAATGGATTAAATTATCGCGTTTATTTTGCGAGAGGCACCACATACGAAATAAAATTAGTCACCTTTATTTTTGTTGTGCTGAAATCTGTGTAAAATCCCTGGATAAATCAACCATTTGTGAATTATTATTCTCACTATTTGACGTTGGATAGCCCATTTGCGATGATAAGTACTTGCAAAAAATAAGGAATCTGTTGTAAGGAATATGTTGTTTCTAATTTCTCAATCGCCTCTAAAAAACATTTGAATAACTTCCAGAGTCTTCTTAGCATTCTAAAAGGCCAGATGATGTAGTGACGTCACAGTGGCCAAAGGTTTGAAACTGCTCGATTCAGAAAATCGCTCCGATGTGAACTGGGGTTTTAACCCAATAACTCTGTTAATTGTACATCAATTTTAATGCTTTTTATACCCCCACAAACGAAGTTTTGGGGGTTATATTGGAATCAGCTTGTCCATCTGTTTGTTGACGAGATTTTGTCTGGACCGTTTCTCAGAAACTATTGAAAGGATTTGTTTGAAAATTTGTACACTTATTATTCACCATATGGAGGTGTGTACCTGGTATCTTCATCATAATTGGATGATTTTTTGGCATTTTTCAGGGGTTTGTTTACTCACCTGAGCTGAGGCTCAAGTGAGCTTTTCTGATCAAAATTTGTCCGTTGTCTGTTGTTGCTGTTATTTTGTGGTCGTAAACTTTTCACATTTTCATCTTCTTCTCAAGGACCACTGGGCCATTTTCAACCAAACTTGCCACAAAGTATCCTATCTTAAGGCAGATTTAAGTTTATTTAAATACCCCTCCTCTCCTCAGAACCCATTTTTAGGTCACCTGAGTCACTCAGGTGACTTATTGCTGTCTATTTTTGTCCATCTTCGTGCATGGTGTGTTGTGTGTTAACATTTGAACATTTTCAGCTTCTTCTCTGAAATCACTGAACCAATTTCAACCAAATTTGATATAAAGCATATATGTGTGAAGGGAAACAAGTAGAGCCCCCACCCCCCAACAAAAATTGTGAATTTTATGGTCCCAGCACCCCTGGGGCCTGAGGGGTGGGGCCAAAACCACTAAAATTATTGCAGTCTTTAAAAATCTTTTTCTTTACTTCTGTACATCAAGCAGTCAAATTGTTGACGTGAATGTAATGAGCATTGAGTCTTGTACCAAAACTATGAAATTCATGGCCCCAGGGTCAGGGGTTATTTTGTTACGGCAGGGCTCTATTAATTATATAGTGAAAATGCATTTATTCTTTTAAAATCTTCTCTGCTTCTGGGTAATAAATAAACTAAGTACATAGTTATGATGATCAAGAGTGCCTCTTCTAAAATTGTGAATTTCATGGCCCCGGGGTCAGGGGGTCTGGTGTTAGGGCAGAGCTCTATTGATTATTGAAAATGCATTTCTCTGCTCCTAGGTATTAAATAAACTATCTAAGTACATAGTTATGATGAGCAAGAGTGCCTCTACCAAAATTTCGAATTTCATGGCCTCAGGGTCAGGGGTTCTGGTGTTGGGCAGAGCTCTATAATGATTATATAGTGAAAATGCATTACATTTTTGAAAATCTTCATCTCTGCTCCTGGGTAATAAGCAGATAAACTACTTATATAGTTATGATGAGCAAGGGCTCTTCTTTCAGAATTGTGAAATTCAAGACCCCTGGGTCAGGGGTACCATAGAGGGGGGGGGTGGGGGGCTCTACTTATATACTAAAAATGAATTGTTTGAAATCTGCTCCTTGGTATTAATCAAACATTTTTGAAAAGAAAGTGTGCCTTTTCAAAAACTGTGCAATGTGTGGACCTAGAATCAGGGGTTCATGTGTGGTAGGGGCACTTCTGATTATTGCTGAATATTACTGATTAGTTGAAATGCATTTTTTGTTCACCTACCCTGCCTATGGGTATTGAGTAACCAAACTAAGCAATTACAAAGTGTATAATTATGATTAGCAATGGTGCCTCCTTCAAAATTGTGAATTCCATAGCATCTAGCGTAAAACATGAACCAACTTCAATCATTTGAAAGTTATTGCATGATGCTCAGGTGACCTATAAGGCCCATGGGCCTCTTGCTGTAATATATTTAAACTTTTCAATACTGAACTAAGTTTTGCTTTTACCGAGCCAATTGCTCAGGTGAGTGATGTGGCCCCTGGACCTCTTGTAATCAACATATTTGCTTCATGTACGGTGCCTGTAGTAAGGGTTAACAGAGTACATGTAAGGAAAGGAAAGGGGGAAAATACATCTGACCTACAGACTGAAAGTAATACAGCTCACAAAAATTTCTGGAGTTTCTGGAAGTATGTCTTAAGATACTCTTACAGATTTTATAAGGTTTTACATTAATAGAATATATCATTAATGATTCATGATACTAAGCTTAAAACTTACACATTCTCTGTGTATTTTAGATGCTCTGATCAAGAATATCTTTTTCATGCTAACCATTAGCTGTCACAGTCAAATTGCCATTTTCTTATAGAACATTAAACTAGTCTTGTCAAGTATGGAATTTATTTACATGATCAAATCTTATCCATTGCATTAAATAGAGTTATAAAATGTCTGTCATGGAAATATAGTGGGTGGGAAAAATGATAGCTTCCTAACTGTATGAATTTATACCGTCATTTATCTCCAAGTCTGTGAAGGAAAAAAAGTATCAATACCCTCTATAGTGGGTACAAAGAATTCATGTTACTTCATTCTTTTATATTATTTTTAACTCACCTGAGCTGAAGGCTCAAGTGAGCTTTTCTGATCAAATTTGTCCGTTCGTTGTCATTGTTGCTCTTGTCTTTGTCATCGTTTACTTTTTACATTTTCATCTTCTTCTCAAGAACCACTGGGCCAATTTCAACCAAACTTAATACAGAGTATCCTTGAGTGAAGGGGATTCAAGTTTGTTCAAATGAAGGGCCAAGCCCTCTTCCTAGGGGAGATAATTATGAATTAATGAAAAATTAATGGCATCTTTTAAAATTCTTCTTCTCTTGAACCATTTGGCCAGGAAAGATGAAACTCATGTGGAAGCATCCTCAGGTAGTGTAGAATCAAGTTTATTCAAATCATGACCCCCGGGGGTAGGGTGGGGTCACAATGGCTGATCAAGGTTTTACACAGCAATATATAGGATTTTTTTTTTAATCTTCTACTCCAGAACCACTGGGCCAGGAAAGGTATAACTCATGTGGAAGCATCCTCAGGTAGTGTAGATTCAAAGGATGATGTGACATAACTGCTATCTGGGGCCCCTTTTTCCACGACGATTTATATTTAATCTACAACGATGTTGATATTTTTCAAACATGAGTGAATAAAAACGACGTCTTTTGAATAGTTTCAATAGTTCAGACACATTTTAACTATAAGTAATACTGCATTATCTTTGATTTTTTAGACCCTATCACAGCTAAATTCGGCCAGGTTTGTGCGAATATTTTCTTTTATGGCAAGAAAATGGGCGGGTCTTAGAACAATAGAGGGATATGCGTGTCCGAGAAGACCTTATATGGTTATTGTTATTATTTCGCATTTAGTCATTGTCCAATCCGATGACAGAACAACAAAACATGCTGGCATAGTACGTTAACATTTTATCGCAGACACGTGGTTTAGGTCAATTTACCTGTTATCCTTTTCTACATTTCAAACTTTTATAATGGTCAGCCATTGCTGTTTATACTTAATAATATGCATGGATTTTTCAACATTTATGGTTTTTAGGACAAGAAATGCACATGAAACATGTATTCACCGATACTTGGGAATATGTGTAGACCTAGCGAATTGCTCACCAAACACGCTACAAAACTTTAAACTAATGTATCCCATGTATATTCTATCAATTGTTTGTAACTGTATATGAATTTTACTGTCGTCTCGGAAATGGTACATATGTAGATTCGTGTCTTATATTGACTCAAATGCATAAAAAATATCGGAAAGCAGTAAAATTCCAAGCATGTTTCCATAGTATTTTTGTGGTACTCACTCGTAACGAATTTCATTTAGCTGATTGGTCAGTTAGAAAGTATCGCCTGTGCCTCGATTAGCATATGAATTCATTTTTACGTCAGAAAATCTAGTTCCGTTGATCTGTTTATAATGAGAAAGGGCGACTAGATTTTACAATTTTTCAAAAAATAGCATGTGAGCGCAGTAAGGTACAATTTTCTCCTTTCACATGTAGGTAGATTTCATTGAAATACAGTGACCAGCTAAAGGAGAAAATTGTACCTATCTGCGCTCGTATATTTTAAGGGCTTCAAAGAGTGGGGCGGGGTTAAAATGCAATGGGAATTGAATGTAAACATGATACCCCTACCCCAATCTAAGATCTATATCTTTCAAATCACGTTTCTATTTTTGTTAAAAATAGTATTCTATAAAGGTACACATATCAGTGATTAGTTGCATACAAAAATTTGAGTAAAATTTAGACATTTAATTTTTTGTCAATATGCGAGGGGCCGCAAGTCACCTCATCCTTTGTTCAAATCATGACCCCTGGGGCTAGGGTGGGGCCAAAATGGCCGATCAGAGTTTTACATAGGAGTATATAGGAAAAATCTTTAAAAAATCTTTTTCTCAAAACCATTTGACCAGGAAAGATGAAACTCATGTGCATGGAAGCATCCTCAGGTAGCGTAGATTAAAGTTTGTCAAAATCATGACCCCCAGGGGTAGGACCGGGCCACAATGGCTGATTAAGGGTTTACATAGGAATATATAGGAAAAATCTTTTGAAATCTTCTCCAGAACCACTGGCCCTGGAAAGATGAAACTCATGTGGAAGCATTTTGATTTTAGGTATTATAGATTCAAGTTTGTTCAAATAATCCGGACCCACAATGGCTGATCAAAGTTTTTTTCGATAGGAATATTTAGGAAATTTTTTTGAAAATCTTCTTCTCCAGAACCATTGGACCAGGAAAGATAAAACTCATCTGGAAGAATCCTTAGGTAGTGTAGATTCAAGTTTGTTCAAATCATGACCCTTCGGGATAGGGTGGAGCTACAATGGCTGATCAAAGTTTTACATAGGTATACATAGGAAAAATCTTTTATAAAATCTTCTTCTCAAGATCAGCAAAGCTATGATTAGTGATATTAATATGGAAACATCCTCAGAGTTAATTCAAGTTTGTTCATATCATGACACCTGGGGTAAGGTGGGGCCATAATGGGCAATCAAATCTTTACATAGAAATATATATAACATGTATGCTTTATTGATAGAATGACAATTTCTCAAGTAATGAAAAACTCAGCCTCCTCCCCCAACAAGTAAACTTTTCAATACTGAGCTGATTTGTGTTTTTAGCTCACCTGAGCCAAAGGCTCATGAAAAGACATGACCATAAATTGTTTAATATAAAATGTCATCTCTTTTCCACACCAAAATGTTGAACATTGTACTCAGCCAGACAGTTGATTATGAGCATAAGATTCAATTATTAGGACCCTGAATACAGGTTATTAAGACAAAAATGTAAACCCCATGGTTCCGAAGTTTCAAATTCTATGGGTCTGTGGGAAATGAAACTTCTAAAAAGATTACTATCTTTTTCACATACAGTAGAATGTCATTATGACATACTTTACAGAGATATGGCTAGAGACTGTGCAAACATTTTGGCCATAGAATTGTACATGTAGCTCTCTGGTCGACAAGAAAAAAATACAAGGCGTCACTCTGAATTTTCTAAACAGTCTGCAGAGCTAAATTTCTGCAGCCAAGAGGTCTTTTTTGGATAATGTCAAAGTTCATAAATTAGATCTGCCAAGGTTTTGATCTCTGGAAGTTCAAACTCTCAAACTTGATACACCTGGTATGTAGGTTTCTCATATATGAGGGCTGTTCAATAATTAATGTCCTGAACTTTATGACATACAATGTAACAGATATCATATGGCATTGAGCTTTACTCATCTCATGATTGAATCTTTAATGAATTGATATTACTTTGTGTGACCATTTTCATCTCATACACGTATCTTCATTGTGAGGAGCTTTTAAACAAGGGCTATTCATGACACTGCATTTAAAATGTAATAATTGGTAAAGAATCAATAAATTACAAAATGATCATCCTATGTTTTGAAAAATAAATGAAAACAACAGCGTGTGAGAATATCTAAAAAATTATTTTTCAAAAAATCAGAAATTGTAGCATATTCATGTATGTCTGAAATTTAAACAGATAATGAAATTGGAATCCATTGCTTTAAACCCTCAAAACAAATTTACAATAAGATGCACTTGACCAAATCATACAAAGGTCTGAAAAGAGCAAAGAATTGCAAGAGAACAAAGACAGTTTTATATGCCATATTCTTAAATATTAGTGGTCTTTTTGTTCAAATATATATTCAGGAGGCAGTTTAATTTCTGAAGTAGTCTAGAAAGCAAATTTTTTGCAAAAAATTTGAAAGTTTTATGAGAGAAAGGAACCAGAATCAGGAATCCATTACATGTCTTCATGACAGCAGCCATTTAACCCACACTCCCTGAAGAATAAAGACGTTTTGGGGATAAACTGAAAGTTAATGTTTTACCACACCAACAATATTCGCCATATGTTTCATCCTTTTACTTGTTATTTCCAAACTTGAAAAAAATAACCTTTCAGAAATGAAGAAAAAGGTCCAGGAAGGCTTATATTCCAGTATACTAAACAAAGGTCATACTCAAAAATGGGTTCTAAAAACAATCAGAAATTGGATAAAAATGTTACAGACCTGTGTTTTGTGTTTTGATTTAAAGAGAATATCTATTAAGTTAAATCATTAAGACTAAAACATTGAAAAGCATCTTTTGCTTCATTCCGAGCACCAAGGACATTATTTATTGAACAGCCCTCGTACATAGGGGTTAAAACCTTTAGTTTTAACAAGGCTACAAGCTTCAACTCACAGCATCATTTTTAACAAGATGGTAAAGATTTTTAAGGCTATTTCATATAGCTATATTATAACTCACCTATAAATTGGTTTTTTGGCAGTTAAATTTGGTCCAAAACTCTATGTCCAACTTATAGGTGAGTCACAAAGACGTAGCATTTCATACATATTTCTGACGATTACTGAAGAACAAAGTCTATATATGTATAATCATTTATGCATTTAAAAGTTATACATAAAGTACATAGAGTATTTACTCATTTCAATAGTTTTATGTTTATCTTAATTAGATGTGCATTATATATTTGTTTAATGGTATAAAATTAGATATCAGCATTAATTCGAAAATTATAAATAGAACAAGATGTGTTTGTGAAACACTATGCGCCCGGCGGCAACAAAGTTCGGAAAAAGCTATTTTTAGCATTAAGGTCACAGTCAAGGTCACAAGGTCATTGACATTGGTGTCATTTAGAAAAACCTGATTAGTGGAGTTTGCATACCAAATATGAAGTCTCTATCTTTCATGGTTCAAAAGTTATGGCGAAGGTTAAAGTTTGCAGAAAAAAGCTTTTTTTAGCATATAGGCCACAGCCAAGGTCATTGACCTTGGTGTCATTTGAAAGAGCTTAATAAGTGGAATATGCATACCAAATATGAAATCTTTATCTTTTATGGTTCAAAAGTTATGGTGAAGGTTAAAGTTGGGGACAAACAAACAAACAAACAGACAGACAGACAGACAGGACAAAACAATATACACCCTTGATCTATCGATCCGAGCTCATAAAAAACAGCTAAAAACATCAGTGCATTGATTTAAAATGTCAAACGAATAGTTATGATTCTGGCAAAAAGTTGTACCAACTTATAAGCAGGTCAATGACAAATCTCTCCGAATTTACCAAAAACAAGATGTGTTTGTGAAACACTATGCGCCCGGCGGCAACAAAAATCGAAAAAGCTATTTTTAGCTTACTAGCATAGGTAACAGTCAAGGTCATTGAGCTTGGTGTCATTTGAAAGACCTTGATTAGTGGAGTATGCACACCAATATGAAGTCTCTATCTTTTATGGCTCAAAAGTTATGGTGAAAGGTACGAAAAAGCTATTTTTAGCATATAGGTCACAGTCAAGGTCACAAGGTCATTGACTTTGGTGTCATTTGAAAGAATTTCATTGGTGGAGTATGCATACTAAATATGAAGTCTCTATCTTTCATGGTTCAAAAGTTATGGCGAAGGTTAAAGTTTGCAGACAGAAAAGTTATATTTAGCATATAGGTCTCATTCAAGGTCACAAGGTCATTAATATTGTGTCATTTGAAAGCACCTAATTAGTGAAGTATGCATACCAAATATGAAGTTTCTACCTTTCATGGTTCAAAAGTTATGACGAAGGTTAAAGTTTGGAGACAAACAAAGAAACAAACAAACAGACAGACAGACAGGACAAAAACAATATACGCCTCGGATCTATCGATCCACGAGCATAAAAATACAACCGACTTATAGGTGGACTGACTTATAGGCAAGTATATATATTAATTGTGCTCTTCCTATGGGCATAATGATCAGATTTGATCATAAAATTAAATTTTATGTAGTACATTTTTTAAATTCAAAGGTGTTTGAAGTGGACTGCCTGATGATTTATTGATAAGGAATCTGTGACCTCATGGAATCAGTTAACAGAAAAAATAAATTGATGGTACGACACTGCTGTGATAGACAAAACATGTGCTTCACAAAATCAATCCTTGGAGACCAATTGCCACAGAAAGATAGCCATTTGATGAAACATGTACAGATTGAGGGCTGTTTACATCATGGACAAAATCAGAAATAGTGCAGTTGTTTTTCTCATTACAATATAGTGTTTCTGTATGCCCTTAATTATGTTCCCCAAACGAAGTTGGGGAACATATTGTTTTTACTCTGTTTCTTATTATTATTATTCTTATTATTATTATTATTTTTCTTCTTTGGAAAATTTTGTCCGCGAGTGATCTTGTAAACTACTCATCCAACTTAGGTGAAACCTTTTTAGGGTAAGTAGGCATGTTATGTAGATTTGCGGAATCAAGGTCATTTTGCGCGCACGTGCTTGCAAGAGCGCGCACGTGCGAAACTTAAAATGACCAATATATAATGGATATAATCGTAACTTCTCTATTTTGTGACGAAATGTTTTGAAACTTATAATGTAAGGATATATTAGTAGTATGCACAAGATGACATGGTCAAAATAGCAAGATAGCACGCGCATGCACGTGTGCTTCGCTCTGATTGGCTGAAACTAAAGTCTCAATATCTTTTTTGTTTTTTGATAAAATCATTTGAAATTTTGAACATAGTCATACATTAGGGAGATCTACTGCCTGTAATATAAGATTTTTCATGAAAGCATGTGCATGCACATGTGCTTGCAAGAGCTCGCGCGTGCAACACGAGAAATGTCCAATATAATTGTTAGAGACGTAACTATTAAAATTATTGAGGAAATGCTTTGAAACTCATTTTATAAGTATATATTAGTAGTATTCACAAGATGACATAGTCAAAATAGCAAGATCGCACGCGCATGCACGTGTGCTTTGCTCTGATTGGCTGAAACTAAAGTCTCAATATCTTTCTTGTTTCTTGTCATAATCCTTTGCAATTTTGAACATAGTCCTACATTATGAAGATCTACAGCCTGATAAATAAAAAATTTCATGAAAGCATGCGCATGCGCACGTGCTGCAATCTGATTGGCTGAAACTTTAAATGGTTATATCTCCCTTGTTTTTTGACGAAATGCTTTGAAATTTAAAACATAGACATGCATTAGGATATCCTACAATATGATATAGAAAAAAATCATGAAATCACGCGCATGTACGTGTGCTGCAATCTGATTGGCTGAAACTTGAAATGGCCATAACTCCCTTGTTTTTCAACCAAACAGGATGAGATTTAGAACATAGATAGATATAAGGGACTCCTAAAAGAAGGTATGGCCATCATGCACGTGCATGCATGTGGAACTAAAAATACATTTTAATGAGTAATTTTTAATACTTTTGGACTGAATGCTTTAATATATAGCATATTAAAATATATAAATAGTGTAGACAAGATGATATGGTCATAACGCACATGCATTCACATGCGCACGGGTGCAATACTACAGTTTGAATATAATTGGTAATCTTTGGTAATTGGTATCCTTCTCGGTAAACGTTGTTAAAGTCAAAAATTCACAGAGTTTGTCTTATTTAATGAAGCTTACAGGGAATATGGCACCAAAATGAAGTTGGGGAGCGTTTGGGTACATCTGTAACGGTTCCCGTTACAATTAGCACTAGTTGAAAGTGAAATCAAATGATAAATTGTTGTAACTGATTACTTTAGCTGACAGTTTATTTTAATGTAGGTCACTTTCACAGACCCATTGGCTACTGTGCTCACCTTGGTCATGATGAAAAATAAAAATGTAATGTTGTGACTAAGCATATGCCAAGATTTGTAAAATTGTCAATTGTTTTGAATAATGATTTTTGCATATAAATGTTGCAAATCACAAATTTAAATGTCATAGTGTTTTTTTTTAAAATGACAATAACGTCCCTAATTATCTGTATGTGTGATTTATTTCAAGGGGAGGTTTATTTTATGCACTCCTCTCATTTTTGTTTTGTTTACAGAATGTTATATTATATCAATTTTTTTTGCTCATTTTACCTCTTGCATTTTTCTCATGTAGATTGATTGATTGATTGTATACTGTTTAACGTCCCTCTCCAGAATATTTCACTGATATAGAGACGTCGCCATTGCTTGTGAAGGGCTGCAAATTTAGGCCTATGCTCGGCACTTACGGCCTTTGAGCAGGGAGGGATCTTTATCGTGCCACACCTGCTGTGACACGGGGCCTCGGTTTATACGGTCTCATCCAAAGGACCGCCCCATTTAGTCGCCTTTTACGACAAGCAAGGGGGTACTGAGGATCTATTCTAACCCGGATCCCCACGGAGCTTTTCTCATGTAGAAGTTTCTGAATAAACTCTTCTTCATGAATGTACAAACAGGTAGTCTAGTAAATCAGCACAATTAGTGCCCATTGGGATTCTAACAGATTGGTTTCTATAAAAAGCCATGTGCCCGACATTTACTTATGTAAAGAAGGCCTTCCTTACAGAAAAGTATTTTGTGTAGGCTACATTACAATAATAAATTATACTTAGATGAACATTTTGTTTTAAGGCTGTGCTATTGTTAATTTGTTGTTACAGCTTGGTCATGGTGAACAATTTATTATTTACATAAAATTTATTTAATTACACATTTTTCCAATACAGCCAAAAACTTTTCTTCAGGATTTCTCTTGTATATCTGTTAGAACACATGGATAAGTTTAACATTGGAATTTTTAGGAAAAATCTTCTCAAGAACAGCAAAGCCATGATTGGTGATATTTAAATGGAAGCATCCTCAGGTAGTGAAGATTCAAGATTGTTCAAACCAGAACTCCATGGGGGTAGGGTGCATCTTCATGTAGTTAAGATTCTTATTTTTCAAATCATGGGAGATCATTTTTTTATTAAGTAATATTTAGGGTAAAAAATCTTTTCAAGAACGAGAAAGTTATATATGCATGCTATATACGAGTATGTATTGATATAATGCCATTTTCAAGCTAAAGTAGTATAAAATTCTAAAATTCAAGCCCCTCCCCTTCTGTAAACTTTTCAAAATGAAGCTGATTTGCGCTTTACCTAGAGCCCATGTGCTCAGGTGAGCAATGTGACCCAAGGACCTTTTTTTTATTTTTAAGTATCTGCATATACATGGATATTAAAATGCGTAAAAGAATTTTTTATGCCCCGCCATGAATATGGCCGGGGCATATAGTGTTTGTCATGTCCGTCTTCCGTCCTTCCGTCACACTTTGCGTTTAGCTCTGTTCAAAGCTAAGTTTCAAAGAAACTATCCAAGATATTTTCATCAAACTTCTTATGCTGATAGATATTGATGAGAGCTATGCAACTGCATCAACATTTTTTTACCTTGACCTTTCCTTTGACCTTGACCTCACTTTTCCTAAATTAGTGTTTAGCTCAGTTTTAAACATACCATTCAAGATGGTGTTATCAAACTTCACAAGTTGATACATGTACAAACTTGCACGAATAATGCATCTAGGGATGAACACTACCAGACTTGCTTCGGATGCTGGATCTGACCTACATTTTCCAGATGAGTGACCAGTTTAAAGTTTTTGGAGCAGGTCCATTCCTAAGGAACTATAAGCCCTACTTGGACCAAACTTGCATGGATGATGCATCTAAGGATGGACATTACCAGACTTGCTTCGGATGCTGGATCTGACCTACATTTCCAGATGAGTGACCAGGTTAAAGTTTTTGGAGCAGGTCCATTTCCAAGGAACTATAAGCCCGACTTGGACCAAACTTGCATGGATGATGCATCTAGAGTTTGACACTACCAGACTTGCTTCGGATGCTGGATCTGACCTATATTTTCATTCCCAAGTAACTATAAGCCCTGCCTGAACCAAACTTGCATGGATGATGCGTCTAGGGATAAACACTATCAGACTTGCTTCGGATGCTGGATCTGACCTACATTTTTATCCCCTAGTAACTCTAAGCCCTCCCTGACTTAAACTTGTATGGACAATGCATCTATGGATGGACACTACCAGACTTGCTTCGGATGATGGATCTGACCTATATTTTCATTCCCAAGTAACTATAAACCCTGCCTGAACCAAACTTGTATGGATGATGCATCTAGGGATGGACCCAGACCACAATTAGCTTACATATAGACTTATATAGTAAAAGCATTTGTTTTATTTTCTTTGTAACTTTTTAAAAAATCTTCATTTCCAAAATATCTTTGACCACATGATAGAGCAATATGTTAGATAAATATTCACATCCAGAAATAGGGGTGTTGAATGTGGAATTCCCTGGTTATTAATAAACTTCTGACGTCATGACCTCGGGATAGCTCTCGCTTGGCAAAAAAAGTGTAAACAAACCAAATGAATGCTCTTTTCAATTCATATTTCTAGGCATAATTTTTGCTTGAAATGCACCTTGCTGCATATCATTGTAAACTTTAGACACTCTACTTTTATTCTATACCCCAAAAGTATCTAAAACATGTGAGCTATTTTTATTTTTATCATTGAAAGGGAGGCATATGAATTTCCTACATGTGCTACGTTTTAGCCATTTGACCTTCACCCTTTAATTGTGGCCCGGATCCTATATGGGGGCATAAAATTCATTAAAAAATTTTAAGGCCATATTTGAAATCCTTAGATACTACTTAACTAATATACCAAGTTTGATTGAAATTGGTTGATATCTACATGTAAAATTACATATTGTGTATACTAAGGCAATACAGGAAAGAAAATGGCAAAAAATGGCAAGTATGAAATTTTAAAATTGAAATATGTAAAAAAAAGGAACTAATTATTACAAGTAAGTTGTTGATACCTCTTAAACACACACACACTCTTAAATATGTAAAATACAAGATTTTTAGATTTCTAGGTAATTTGATGATCTGTACCCTGCATTTTCATAAAATTTTCTTAAATTAAGAAATATAAAATCTATCATGAAAA